TCAAAATGCTTTCAATTACTTTAGCTTTATCAGCAACACCGGATAAATAAACAGGGTTCTGAAGGTTTTTCCCCATTTTTGTGGACATATTATTGCATCCACAATACCACTTTTAATCAAGGAAATCCCCCTCACATTTGATGAATTTAACATTTACACAATATGACATCCTCAGTTAGATTTAACCATGTTTGGGTCACTTTGGAAGCTGTGGTAGTTTGCTGCTAAACAAAATATATGATTCAGTCATGAGATTTCCCTTTAAATTTAAATGTTGTCTCTTTTCTACGCCTGATTATGTACGTGTGCATCTTGTAGATACAGACTCATGGGAATGACTATGCTGCATATCCAGTGCAGTGAACTACTGAGCCACCAGAGAGAGGAAATGATACCAAACTTGATGGCTGCGGCTGAGAAGTAAGTGAAGGCATCTTGATCTGGCTTTTGATTTCTGGAGGTTTTTCAAAGATTTATAGGTTATTTTTCTTCCTATTTTGTCTTAGGCTGTCCGTCACTGCCTTCAATACTTTTTATTTTAATTTTTTTTTTGCAGTGATGAGCAGCTCGTCCATTTCCATCAACCGTAGTTTCTCGTGTGAAAAACTACATACAATCCTTGCTGAATTTAGTAGTTTTTGTAATTGGCTACAACCTTAATCGCGAGGAGTTTCTCAGTTACCATGGAGTGGCTCAGTTGTTGGTACAGACATGGTTTTGACTTTTTCTCTTTAGATCTTGTCACTTGCCGTCAAATGTCAGTTGACGTTTCTCCCAGTTTTCTCAATTTCTAATAAGGTGTGCCCAGTGCCATCTGCAGTCATGTGGTAATGAACAAAGTGATCTGTGAAACCAGGCCCCTGGTTGATTTTTCATAACGGGCCCCCTTCCTGTTTGCTGTGGTTCCACCCTTTTCTATCTTTCGATGGTTCAAAATATATATATTTTTAACAGTTTTATCTTCCAGAGCCATTGGGTCTAGTGCTGTGTGTGTGTGTTGTGTGTGTGTGTGGTGTGTGTGTGTGTGTGTCTGTTGTTGTGTGTGTGGTGTGTGTGTGT